TTTCTGAAGAAGGGTCTAGGCCCGAAACGTCAGCTTTCCTGCTCCTCTGATGCTGCTTGGCCTGCTGTGTTCATCCAGCTCTACACCTTGTTATCTCAGATTCTCCAGCATCTGCAGTTCCTACTATCTCTGGAACTTTTCCAGAAATTTGTTTTTGTTACTTATTTACAGCATCATAGTTGCTTCATTTTTATTTAATCTCATTAATTTTCCTATTTTCTTACTAATATTGATTTCTTCAATTATGACTTCTCACTAGACCCTTTGTTGCTAAACTTTTCTGGAAGGTTATCTGTGCTCTCTTTTATGAAGTCAGAACCAAAGTATGTGTTCTTCAGCCAATTCATTGTTGTCCATTATAATTTCCCTGTCTTCTGACTATAAGGGATCCACATTTGTCCTTACTAATCTTTTTCTTTAAAATTTGTATATAATCATTTATATAATTTTCGAAAATTTTTACGTTCACCGAAATTTTATTCTCATACTTCATTTTCTCCCTCTTGATCAAACTTTTTGTTCTCTGCTACTGAATTCTAAAATACTTCCAATCTTCAGGCTTACTGCTTTATCTGACATTTTTATATGTCCCCTCTTTGCATCTAATACAACCCTTATTTTCTTTTATAAGCCACAGTTAAGCCACTTTCCTCTTCTATTTTTGCACCAGTGAAATTTAGGTCATTTTATTGAAACACATGAGAACTCCAGGAGACTTGACACAGTGGGTATAGAAGGGATGTTTTCCCTTGTGGCAAGACTCAAACTGGGAACATAGTTTAAAAGTAAGGTACTAAGGTATCGCCCATTTAAGATGGAGCTGAAGAGAATTTGTCTCTGCTCTGAGGGTCATAAGTCTGTGGAATTCCCTATCGCAAAGAGAGGTGGAGGCAGGATCATTGAATTCAGAGGTGGACAGAATAAAGGAGTCAAGGATATAGGGGTAAGCAGTGAAATGGAGTTGAGGCCAGAGTCAGACCAGTTACGGTCTTATCAAATTGCAGAGCATGCCTGTTGCGTTGGATGGGTTACTCCAGATCATAATTCACATATTTATCTCTATAATGTTTCAGGGAAGAAATCTCTACATGTATGCTAATATTTGCTGGGGGCGTTCAAAAGGGTGTCACTATTCACCCTTAATGTTGAAAAGCTGGATAAACATTGCTTTAAAAGGAGTTAGTTGATATCAATAAGAGCAGATGAAAATTTATTTAGAAAAGTAGTTCTGTCAATGCTAGGGAGGGTAAGTAAATGTAGATCTTGAGCCTTCAGAGGAGACAATTCATCTGCACAATGCACTCACTAAGTGTCTCAAACTAAAATCAATGTTCTGAGGAAGGGTCATCGGACCTGAAACGTTAACTCTGTTTTTTCCTTCACAGACGCTGCCAGACCGGCTGAGCTTTTCCACTGTTTTTGTTCCTGATTTACAGCATCCGCAGTTCTTTTGGTTTCTTTTGGTCAGCAATTTGTTAGCTTAAGATATCATAGAAGTCTAACATTTGGAATTGTTTTACCAAAGTATTGTTGAACATGGACTACATTGTTAACATAATAAATTAATTCATAAATCATTCAATACTTAAGGTAATCCATACTTTCCCCATGGGTCCGCTGGACTCGCAAATACTGCAACATCAATAGGGAGAGTCAGCTTGAAATGGATACGTGACATCTTATGGTGCTGGATAGTGACATTTTCAACATGATCAAGAGTTGCCAACTCGAAGTGAACCTTCAGGTTTATTACTTTCTGAGAATTAAAAACAGTATGTTAGAAGTATTACAATGATGTAAGATTGTAAAGTCAGGGAAATTTTACTGTCATTGAACACAAGGTCAGCAGGTACTGACTGAAGTACTGGGCTGATCAAAAATAGAAATACGTTACTTTAATTTACATAATCATTTGGAATTTAGAATGTTGTTGGTGTGTATGCCAACTTCCATAATGATCTCCTCCACCAATACGGTGGAGTGCACACTTCTGGCCAGAAATAAAGGCCAATAGGCAAGGGAAAGTATACCATTAGAGTCCTACCCTTGTGCACTGAGAAAGCAATATTCCTGTTCATCCATGCAGATGCTGAAATTGCCCTTTCTCTCTTATGAATTTTGTAAACAAGACATGGTCTACCTCATCTATTCATGAAAAAGCCACAAGCTCAGTTTGTGACAATTTTTAACAAGAAATAAGGCTTGCAAAACCTTCTGTCAGTCCGATTTTTTTCACAAAATGAAACTGACAATGTATTGTGTGCACTAATCTGTGCAGTTAATGTTGCAATCCATGGTCATGGCTTTGAAGGTTCTCCATTACCATATATGCTGTGACAGATTATCCCTCTGTATACTATAAAAATAATCTAGCTGGCTACCGTAAAATCATTACAGATGCAGCCTCATCAAAAATTCTTGCAAAAGCAAGAAATCCTTAAAATCTAAAATTATGAAATCTACATGCCTACCAGAGGTACGATCTTTAATGATTTCTTTTTGGAAGCCTTTTTAAGTATCTCACTGACCTCAACCCTGAAATAAAAATTGCAAACTGTGATAAGACAGCGCACAAATAAAACCCGATGGTTCATATTCTGCTATCTGTAACAATATTGGCATGGATTAGTTAATGCAAATGGAGACCAAAATTAATTGAGCTTCATTTCTATCTGAGTAAATGGGACTAGAAACATATGAAGATCTAGATTTCTTTTATTCTTGTCCACTCCACCAGAAAGAACAACTAGACACAGTTAAATGGAGCATCACACACTAACACGACAGGAAGAAGACTGCATGGGCAGATTCACTTTTTCTCTACTACTGATTTTTCTTTATGATCTAACTTTGTACTAAGAGTCTGAATTCACAAAAAATATAGGAAATTCTACTTAATTCTTGGCATACAATTAAACAAGTTCAAAGCAAATAGGATGCCTTATCAGAACTTTAATGCTCTAGCACAGCATCCAACAAATATCAGTCAAAATCAGATTTGTATGTGGCTCCATTTCTACGTTACAACAGTAACTACATGACTGTATTTTAAAAGGTCTTCATTGTCTGTCAAATTCAATGCATTAAACACCCACTCCTTTCACTACCAACACAGAGTGACAGCAGTGTGTACCATTTACAAGATGCACTGTAACAGCTCACCCAGGCTCCTTTGACTTCAAGACCCTTGAACTCTCCAACCTAGAAAGACAGGAGCATCAAATGCATGACAACGTTCCCACCTGTAGGCTCCCCCTCAAGCTGCACCTAACCCTAAGCATCCTGACTTGGAACTACATCAGTGTTCCTTTATTGTCAACTAGTCAAAACGCTGGCACTCCTTTCCTCACAGCAACTACACCAAATGGACTCCAGAGTCGAAGGCAGCTCACTGCCATGGTGTATATTTGGTTAGTCTAGCTCAGGGAAATTAATCATGCCTCCACTAAGTTTGAACAATTAATTGATTACATATTAAGGAGTCCCATGCAGCTTTCTAGATGTTTGACTAACTCTGGTGAAACATGGTGCTTCTCTGTCTCTCATAGTACCCTATGAATATATAAAAAAGGATATCCTGATCATATTAAAAAGGACTATGTAAACAGATTCATTTTTATTCAAATGGATTGACATACACTATTCACCGACACTGCTGGGATTAGCTACTTCAGTGTCTCACTTGGTTGTCGGATGGAAAATCTGTCGACAGGCTTAAAGTGGTTGGAGCTGGGAAAGATGTTCCCACCGATCTGTCTGCCCTGCCACCATCAAACTTGCATCGGGGTTGTGGGGGGGAGGACACAAGATTCCATCAGTGATCCGTATTAGTTAACCTGCAATTTTCATGTTTTATGGTGAATATTTTACCTAGCTATATTAGCTGTAAAACAGATCTCTGACATACAAAGTAAGATCTCCTTCATTAAGACCTGATAACCTTGGATAGCTGACCATAGATTGATATAGAATTTCTACATTCAGCAGTTAACAGTGGATACGTGATATCTTATTGTGCTGGATAATGACATTTTTAAGACGACCAAGTGTTGCCAGCTCAAAGTGAACCTTTAGGTTTATTACTTTCTGAAAGTTAAAAACTGTATGTTAGAAACATTACAATGATGTAAGGTTGTAAAATCAGGGAAATTTTACAGTCGTCAAACACAAGGTCAGCAGGTACTGACTGAAGTACGGGGCTGAATAAAAATTCAAGCACGTGACTTTATTTACATAACCGTTTGGAATAATTGTAATGCCAGTAACATACTGCTTTATTTTTAAAAATATGTTTGAAATGTTCCAATCTAAAGCTCTCTACTTTTCTACTACTCTCTCCTCGTCTAAGGCACTTCTTAAAAAATTACTTTTTGACCCAGCTTCTGGTGACTTGTCTTAATGTGCTTGTTATTGAATTTTGTTTTTTTTTTCATTGCTTCTATCAGACCCAGTGGTACAAGTCACACAGGAGGTCAGTGCCTCCGGTAGTCAACATTCAGCGCAGGAAGAAAAGAAATGATTTCTGGTCTTCTGTAACGGTAAATGCCACCAACTTCTTGCTGTAACCTAATGCTCATTAGACCTTCACTCAGTTTAATTCTGCTACTGTGCAGCCATGTCACATTAGCATGTCCACCTCACCATCACCTGCATAATATGCAGTGAAGGGCTCTCATCCATCTTACGCAACAATTCTATCACACTTCCCAGAAACTGCACTTCATAACTGCAGAGGGCTCACCAAAGGTGCCATAGTCCCAGAGGACCATAGGGCTGCTCTCTCATTAGAGAGAGAAAACTGATTGTGAGTTTAACCTGAGGGCCAGCACACCCCAGGTGAGGGGTGAGTTTGAGAAGGTCGGACCTTCGTGGTGACCCTAGCCAGTATAGGAATTGAAAACAGACTGTTGATGTCACTCTGCATCACAAATCAGCTGTCCAGCCAACTGAACCAACTGATTATGCCTGCTCATCAAGTTCTCTTAAACACATTCCGATCTCGCTCAACCTTTCTTTTCTCTCATTGCAGGACAAGCTTGGGTGCAACAGGGAAGACAGATGACCCAGACTAGTGGAGGCCCTCATATATTCAAGATGCAATCCAGTTGGTGGGTGAGAAGCAAGACTGGTCCTGTGCAGATGATGAGAATAGAATGGTATAAGCTGGTGAACATAGTGGTCTGTTCTTCCAGAAGTGCAGCCACTCTCATACATTCCTTTACACTAAACCAAGGAGTGTCCATCACCTCACAATATTTCTCACCTGGTTTCCTCACCAACCCATGTCAATCCATTTGAAAAAAAAGTCTGTTTATAAAGGACTTTTTATATATTCAGGATGTCCTTTGTTTTTAAATTATTTGTTCAGAGAATGTGGGCATCCCTGGCAAGGCTAACATTTATTGTCCATCCCTAATTGCCCCTGAGAGGGTGTTAGAAAGAAGTATATGGGTTTGAAAGGGTTAATTACTGAAATCTGGAATAAAAACCCATCCCAATGGTGACCATGTAGCCAATGTCGATTGTCATAAAAACCCATTTGGTTCACTAATGTCCTTCAGGGAAGGAAATATGTGGTGTTTACTTGGTCTGGACAACATGTGATTCTCGACCCATACAATGTGGTTGACTCTTAACTGCACACTGGGCAATAAACACTGGCCTCTCTGTTTACATCTCTTCCATGAAGGTATTAATCTCACCCGATTAATTTCACCTACCAGTCATCCATTTTGTCATGGTGGGATTTTATCAGACATTATAGCAATTGTTTGTTTCAATTAGACAAATAAGCCATGCTGGTTACCTCACCAATTATTAGTCTGCCTAGACACAGATTTTTGACGTTGCTGCCCACTGAAAACAGCAGCACAGAGGCTGTTTGCTACAATGTTACAGACAAAGTTGCTCTGTTTTATATATAATGATCTTCAAAACTGCTTTGATTTCTGAAAATGCAATAAAAACTGTCGGCTATTCTACTGTAACCGATAGGCCTTTTTTTTCATCTGACTATTAGTTAGATGTAATTATGTCATGTTAACCATTTATTGAATTTTGGCAATACAAGTGTTTGGCGTCGTAGTGGCACTAACTATTTGAAATGGATGAAGATGAGCAAAAAGATGTCTCAAGCAACCATGGAAACAGCAACTACTGTAGATAAAATGTGATGAAAAGGGCACTTTTTAAAATACTCATGATGTTAATACAAACAGATTTCTACTTTTCATTTGTTTTCATTTCCGGCAGAAACATTTGGTGAAAATCGCACTCACAGTTTACTTTGAATATTAATGAAAACTTAAATGTCAAAAAATAACAATGTTTTGAAAAGGGTATTCAAGGCCATGATAAGGAAGCAGCAAAAAAAGAAGCCCAGCACACTGCTTTGCCACGTTCGGCGGCTCGTGATTTAACGAGTTACCAGTCGTATCTACCATATGGGTACTAATATTCCAGAAGAAAGTCACAATAAAAGATATTTTGTGTGATTATAAAGACAGAAAGTGCCTGCAGAAACTCAGCTAGTCTGGTAGCATCTGTGGAGAGAGAAATAATGTTAATGTTTTGAGTCCTATATGACTGCTTCAGAACTGAACAAGTTATATATACATTAGAAACATTAACTCTGTTTCTCTCTCCCATAATGGGACCAGACCTGCTGAGTTTCTCCTG